TATCTGTCTCTGCTTCACAGTAAATAGTCTTCTCAGAACTGATGCCACCTCTTCCATTTTCTGAGAAAGATGAAAGTAAAAAGTTTTGATTATAAATATGAATCATGTAGAAGATTTTTCAGTGAAAGGCTAAAGATGTTCAAGAGGTTTGTACATTTAAAAAGTGGATCATGTTGCACCAGGTGTTTAAGATTCCTATGACGGCTATGAGTTGGAGATGCTGCATTCCCAAACAACCCAAATCAACCATTATCATTAGATTTCTTTCTCACCAAAGTTGATGAGTTGCTCTGGGAATCAAGAATGGAAAGGTTTGAAGACGGTAAGAAAGTTTTCACATGCAATTACAAATAACAAAACATCTGTAAAAAGCTTATCATTACCTTTATGCAATAAAAATCCATTCAAAATTTTGGCAGCTGCCTTTTACCCACAGGAACCAAAGAAGGGGAACAAGCAAACCCAGGAGCCGAGTAAATCTCCAAGACCCTGGAGTGCATCTCCTACCAACCCTGCACCCCACTGTGCCATTATAGAGCTTATTCTTCTTCCAAGGGAGTCTGGAAAACTCCCTCCTACCTTCACCTCTACATCCACCCCCTCCCCTCTCAAGGGATACAGGCATCCCTGTTTATAGACATTCCCAGATTTCACTGTGAAGGTTTCAGTGTCACCAAAGTCTTACACAGCAGTGACAGCATGTCCATCTTTTGCAGTGGTGAGCATCAATACAGGAGAGAAATATTTTATGGTAGCCAGAAAAGAAATACAAGTGAAATTGTTAGGCTAAATACAGGCATACAGAGGGGAGAACTCTCTTTCTTTGTTTTCTTCTGACAGTAAGAAAATTACAAAGGATGCTCTAACCCTAACTGGAGAGGTGATACAAGCTGCTCTCAGAGAACCAACTACAGACAGAAACGTCCCTGCCTCGGATGGAGCTCAACTAAGTCACACCCTACAACCTGAGCCACCATGAGGAAGTGCTGCCCTCGTGGAGCCACTTGCTCCATGTACTGACAGGCGTTTGAATCCCTGATTTTGGCAGTCTAGTGAGCATCTTGGGTGTTTGAATTGGACAGAAGAGCAGCACAGAGCAGCTCTTGAGGCTGGACCGGGCTCTGGGTGTGTTCTGGCTGAAGCAGGAGGGACTCACACATTGCAACATAGCACAGAATTTCACCATGGGAAATGCTGTTACCAAAAATAAAAACATGATAAAAACAGTATATTATAAATCAGAGGAACACATTTATCTGAATCTCAGCTACTGTAATTTCAAGAAGTGTTTGACCTGATATAACTCATTTTACTATTGTGAATTACTTCATTACTTTTCTCACAGAAGAAACCCATTCATTCCAGTTTATTCACTCATAAGCCTTGCTATCTGCCCAAATAGAGAACAGTTCCATTTCTTACCCAGAAATGTGTTTTCATCATTTAATAACCAGGCTCCCAGCACAACATACCTCCAGAACTTGGGATGCCACACGGGAGCCCTGATCCCTCAGGTTTCTGCCAGAAGACGCCATAAGTGCCTTGGAGACAGGATTTTGGTTCCTCCAAGTAAAAAATGATGTGCGTTTTATTGGTCACCACTTCTACTGCTACATCTGCAAGTGCCTTGTTTTTTGCATCAGCAATTTTTTCAAACTTCTCAAAATTATTTTCCCCATTCTCACATTTGCAGCTGTTGCAGTCCCTACATCGGTAGATGTCCGCCACTATGTAATAGTCTTCTGTCCCTCCAGCAGGGCCAGCAATGGACATGCCAATATCTAAATCAAAAAAGAGAAATAAAACCTTTTCTACCCATTTTCTACCAGAGCCTTGGCATCAGAGATTAGGACAGGTTTTAGTGGACAAGGTTAGTCATGGCTTCAGAAACATTGTCTGCCAATGGGCAAGTTCTATACAGTATTAGGGCCAGTTCCCAAGATAATTTTTGGGGTAGAAATATGACAGACTTCCCCCACTGTTTCCACTGTCTTTTTAAGTGGGAAGCTGGCAGTTGAAAGACGTTTCTCTTGCTGAGCTCATCTCTTCTTGTCCTCTTTCCTTCCCAAACTCCTTGCCACAATCCCACCAGGGGTCCCTCCAACACGCTGCCACGTCCCAACTCCACTCAAGTTCAGGGCTCAGCTGCCCATTGCCCGCTCTGGGTGCAGTGTCCCAGGTGTCCCCCTCAGACTCTGCTGGGAAAGTCAGTCCTTTGGGAGAGGACTCACCTCATCTGACATCAGACAGACCCAAGCAGTCACCCCTCCCGAAGGAGGTGATTGTCACAGGTCAAACACATCGACCTTCACCTCCTTCATTTCTCTTCTCACCTTTGAGGTTTGGTGGGCTTGGTTTTAGCTGGGCCCAGCTGAGCTTTCCCCTAACAGTGCAGAGGTGCTGAGCTGTGGAAAAGCACCGAGCTCAAACACAGAGACTCACTGGGCTGGGGAGCAGCAAGAGCCAGGAGCAGGAATCCCAAGTGCAGGAGGTGGGGACAGTCCATGGGGCTGCCCGGGGCGCTCAGGTCCAGCGGGGATGGAGCTCTCCCAGATCCTCCACAGTGCCAGGCCAGGCTCAGCAGCTTCCTCCCTCAGTCTTCTCCCTGGGGGGAATTAAAGGCAGTGCTCAGCACCCAGGGTCTCTGTTCTCTGTGTCCAGACACAAAGATTACAGCTCGCACACCAAATGCCAGACAGCTGCTCCAGCCCAGCTCACGGCCACGGCAGCGAGGCACAGGAACCCTCGCAGTGCCCAGCTGCTCCTGCACCCTGCAAGGGCCAAACTCGCAGCCCTTGCCACCTCTGGCTCACCCACGGCACAAGGAGACACCAGGACCTTCTGCAGGGAGAGGGAAATCCCTCCTGAGCCTGTTGGGCAGGAGGCTCCGTGCCCACGTCCTGCGGGCTCCTCCAGGCACTGGCCCTGCACACAGCCCTCAGGGGGAGCACCAATAACAGCTTGATTTGATGGCACTTCCAAAACACACCACAAAATTAACTAAGGAAGATGGATTATGCTGAATGAATGCTTCACTTGGCCTAAGATGGAAGATTTATTGTCACATCAAATTCTATTTTGAATGTAGGAGATCTTATGGAAATAGCTGCTCAAGTCAAAGGAGCAAACAATAACTTGGTCTTTCTTTTAGAAACACCCTTGGATCTAGCCAGAAATTGTTTTTCAACCAGTTAAATAAAACTGTCACGACTTCGTGATGTATGTTTTAGTAAAATACTTGTCAAATAAAAAAAAATTGTAGAAAAGTCACCTTATTTTCCACACCAGACTAGCTCTGGAAATCACAAAGTGCTTTGTTCCTGGGAGCTTTTAATCAACAGCTTTCATTAAAACACCTTTTACTGTCTCTACCTGAAAAGTACCTTGAGGAAATTTCCAAGTTATTTATAAGCTATACATTCAACAGATGTTAGTAATTACCTCTTATGATCTGTGCTGATCTCGATCTACTGATAATTCCACCCCATTTCCCAGAAACCGGTGATCCAGGATATCACAACTCACAGGACACACCCATTCAGGCTGCTGGCAGGTGCAGTTCTTGAGACCAGCTGCAGAATTTCCTATGGAATAAAACCTGGCATACCTCAGGCTCTCAACACCCCTATGCCAGATGCACATCCAGGGAATTTTGGCTTCTCCTCATTCTGATCAAAGGACATCTCCCTTCCTTTTCTCTCTGGTGACATTCCCTCCTTCTCCCCCTCTTTCCTCCTTTTTCAACAGCCAGAACGCTGTCCACCAAATCTCTCTTCTCCCTCACTAATCTGTCTTAAAATCTGGAGACTCTCCAGCTGCCTTGGCCAGCTCATGCCATCAGTTTCAAACTTACTTCAATAAAACACTCAAATCTAAAGTGAAACATTCTTCAAACCCCCTGCAATGTTACAGGCTGGGGACAGAGTGGCTGGACAGTGCCCAGGTGGAAAGGGACCAGGGAGCACCCATGGACAGCAGCTGGACATGAGCCAGCAGTGTGCCCAGGTGGCCAAAGGCCAGTAGCTCCTGGCCTGGATCAGGAATGGTGTGGCCAGCAGGAGCAGGGAGGTCATTCTTGCCCTGGACTCAGCACTGGTGAGGCCACACCTTGAGTGCTGTGTCCAATTCTGGCCCCTCAGTTTAGGAATGATGTTGAGATGCTTGAGTGTGTCCAGAGGAGGGAATGAGGCTGGTGAGGGGAGCACAAACCCTGTGAGGAGCAGCTGAGGGAGCTGGGGTTGTTCAGCCTGGAGAAAAGGAAACTCAGGGGTGACCTTATCAATCTCTACAACTCCCTGAAAGGTGGCTGTGGTCATGTGAGGGTTGGTCTCTTTCTCGAGGCAGCACTGACAGAATGAGAGGACAAAGTCTTAAGCTGTGCCATGAGAAATATAGGTCAGATATTAGGAAAGTTTTCATGGAAAGAATAAAGTACTGGAATGGTCTGCCCAGGGAGATAGTGGAGTCACCATCCCTGGATGTGTTTTAAAAAAAAAAAAAAAAGACTGGATTTGGCACTTGGTGCCATGAGTTAGTTGAGGTGTTAGGGCATGGGTTGGACTTCATCACGAAGGTCTCTACCAACCCAGTGATTCTGTAAATTCTGTGAATGCTGGGCAGAGCTGGGCCCCTGGCACTGCTCCATACACACCCTCCAAGGGGTGATCTGTGCTCTTCCACCACCCCACGGGGGAACCATTTGCACTATGCACAGAGCTCCTGCTCACCTGGAGAGTCCTACAATTATTTCCTTTGTTTTTAATTCTTGATGGGGCCAATCTCTTCTCATCCTCTTCCCACACATGAAAAAATCCCCAAAACAATACTGTTTTTAATTTTTTTTTCTGATCATTCACATTCCACACATCATCCCATTTCTTGATTTGCAAAGCACAGTTAACAAAGCCTGTCCCTCCTACCCTGCAGATGAGCAGAGTTCCAAGGCATTGACATCAATCTTGGAATTATAGAATTGTAAGTTTGGAAAAGACCCTCAAGACCATCAAGCCCAGCTGTTAACACAGCACTGCCAAATCCACCACTTAGATCATGTCCCTAAGTGCCACCTCTTCCTGTCTTTTAAATGCCTCCAGAGGATTTACACCCCAGGGCATGTTTGCTGCACAGAACAGCTGCAGCACATCTGGCAGAATTATTTGCCCAGAGGTTAAGATTCGGGTTTTCCCCAGTAGTTTGCAGCCTGAGGTCTGTACCTTGTATCCTCATTCATTTGGTCCTTTCTCGACTGGTCTTCTTGTCCCTCTCCTCATTCTGATCAAAGGACATCTCCCTTTTCTCTCTGGTGACATTCCCTCCTTCTCCCCCTCTTTTCTCCTTTTTCAACAGCCAGAACGCTGTCCACCAAATCTCTCTTCTCCCTCACTAATCTGTCTTAAAATCTGGAGACTCTCCAGCTGCCTTGGCCAGCTCATGCCATCAGTTTCAAACTTACTTCAATAAAACACTCAAATCTAAAGTGAAACATTCTTCAAACAGAAAATATTTTTCATCCAGTTTTTTTTCACCTGCTTCCCCTTTCTTTTTCAAAGTAATACAAGCTTTCATTTGTCAGAACTTGTGGTTTCCTGCAGAGCTGTAACAGACTAAAGCCAGACCCTAAAAGCAGATCAGGAACAAGAAGTAGGTGAAGAAAGGAACAAGCAGAGAGAAATGGAGCTCCTTCAGCAAACACCAGCCACTCACACCCAGCTCCCCCCCCCAGGTCAGACCTGACCCACAAGCCAGCCCAGCTGACATCACCAGCAGGAGAAAAGTGGATTTGACAGGAAATCTGCAGAGCCCTAACAAGGTCCTTTGGTTTAGCTTAGCTTTTGAAAAGATCTATTTGAGAAAACATTACTGCCTGAAACTCTCAGGCTTTTCCTTCTCCTCATAGCAGCCTAACAAACAAGACAATAAGTAACTGCAGAGTCTGCCAAGATTAGAAGGAAATTCAGTCTCCAATGCAATGGCATCACTTTCAGCAGAGCAAAGGTTCTCTCTCCAAGATAAAAATCTTATGACCTGGAATACTCTAACCCACGTTTCCTCCTACTCCAGCACAAGTTGAACAGTCACTGCCTTTCCAGTGTGTGCCCTCAGGCTGCCTCTGGCACAGGTTCAGTGGGGACCCCCAAAGTGGCCAAAGCAGAGTCCCCCCAACACCCCCCAGGAGCCAGCACAGCAGAGCTGCTGCCCCAGGGTTCACATGTCCTCCCCTCTCCAACCAACCATTACCACAGTCACGGACACACAAAATCCCATGCTGTTCAGCAGCTGTAAAAATCACTGCATTATTTTCTCACTCCTTTTCCTTCTTCCAGCCACATGCCCTGGGCTGTGTAGCTTTAGGAACAATTTAGTTTGTGGGTTTATGGTCAGAACCAGCTTGGTGGAATAAGATTTATCTGGCACCCTGAGGGTCCCATGGAGAAGGCTTAAGTTGCAGTCAATTTGTAGAAAATAATAATACTGAAGGAAGTAAGGCAGCAACAGAATAAAATTCAAGGAAGTTCAAAAGATCCTACAGATTTTGTTTTCTACTCTAAATTGTTTCCCAGAAAAGGAGAAGTATTTACATAAAATAATTTTGGTATCACTTTCCGTATCACTTTTCCCTCACTGGTCTGCTGTACACCCTTCTGAACAAGCCTTTGCAACAAAAACAAATAAAAAAACCAAAGTCACGCAAGGGGATAAAGCAGCTCTTCCCTGAGTGAGCTAGCACTGCAGTTTATACCCACAGCTCCAACAAGCCACTGCAGAGACAGCAACCAGCAGGACATTGTGGTTGAGCTAAGAAATCTCTGCATAAAATCCTAAGTCTGAAGCACACTTTGGCTTTCCTCTACTTGCTCTGAAAAAAATTTTAGACAGCAACCATTATAAAACATTGGCAACGTTTTTTTATTGCCTGAAGTACATTAAGTAGAATAAAGTCTCACTGGTTTAACTCCTATTTTAAAACCACTGTTCCTAGTTACCAATACTTTGTGTTTCAGTTCTGCTTTGCTTCATCCTAACCCAGAGCTATGAGGCTGGATTGTTCGTTAGTCACGTTGGATTTGGGGAAATGCACAGTCAGCTTGGATCTGAAGAAATGCATGGTCAGATCCAGCCCGGGTGGCAGCTTCTCCTGGGAAAGGAGAAGAACCACAGGGATTTCTCCTGCAGCCCTTCTGACAGATTCTCCCTTATTTGCAAGCATGACAGGATGGCATTTTTGGAAAAGAAGATGTTAGCAAGACATGCTAAGGAGACAGGAGGAAAAAAAAGAAGGGTAATGGAGATGGAAAAAATAATTCTGTAATTAAATGTATTAACAGCATTTTCCTGTTCATGTATTCTATCATTTCTGAGGTCTCTCACACTTTTATATAAAATGCACCAACAGGAACCTGTTGGCTTTGTGCATTCACAGACTCATGTGAGTTCACACAGAGCTCTCTGGAAGTTACCAGTGTGGGCTACAGACATGGTGTTGTTTGTGCAGAAAAATCACCAGCACCAGTAACACATGTTCTTCCCTATGGAGAAAACGTGCAGCTCACTGATAATTTCACTCCTGCCACAGATATTTCAGTGCCTGTTTCTGAGCATCTACTTTAAAAACAAGAGAGCAAGAACTGGTAAGAGAACAGGGTGGAAGACAGGACCCTCTAAAGAAGACGACAGTACCTCAGAAGCTGTTTGTGTCCAAGGAAGCCTTCATGCCTCTTCCCCTCTCACAGTGCCTGTGGAGCCTTTCCAAATTCCAGTTTATTCAGCTCCTCTTCCAGAGGAAATGCAGAAGTCACAGGGATCTCAGAGGACAAAGTATTTCATTGGCTCCTCCCACCTTTAATATAATCCAATGTCATAAAAAATTGGAATTTTCACTTTCACTTCTAAACTGAGTTAGCAGTGCCACAGAAAAATGCAAACAAGGTATGTGCTGTAACTGCACAACTGCAGTTCTACATTATGGAAAAAAACCAATCACACTCCAAAAACTTCCCAGGAGCCTGCTTGGAAGCCCCTGTCAGTCACCCTGTCCCCCCAGGTGCTGCAGCACTGATGGGAAGTGACTGGGTTGGAGATCTGCTCCCCAGTCTGGCACTACCTGGCCATGCAAGGGCTCCCAGGGTCTGTGGCAAGTTCAGGGTCAGGAAGCACAGGGTACAGACAAGGGCAAGATCTGCTGCTTTCTGCTCTCTTTTTTTGGGGTGGGGGTCCTTGGGGTGGCAAGGAGGCAAATCAAACTATCAAAGCAGATTTTAACTCTCAGTAAACGCAGCACAAGTTACAACAGGAAAGTGATCTGGAGAGTGCCTGACCCTCTCCTTCCCCTTCAACTCCGCATCTCTTCACAGAGCCATAAAATTCCTTTCCCTTGACTTGGCCCCTGCCTTTGACACACAGAATAACCTCTTTATTGTCACCCTGTTCAAGCTGTCACTCAACCTGTCACAAACAACAGTCCCAGCCCTGGCCTGCCATAAACTGTAGCTGGATATAAGAATAGCAATGCTTGCTCTCAGTCCATAGTTTACCCTTTAACCACGTCACTGTTTTATTGTGTTTTCATCTCTATTTTCATCACATGATTAACTGCACAGAAAGTCCAAGCCAGGAGTTTCTGCTTGTAAGTTTTCCTCTGGCAAAAAAGGAGTTTTCCTGGAAGGACTCATGTGCTTGGTTTATGCTGAGCACTGCAGCACCTGTAGTGAAGACGTGGATGCTGACCCTTAGGGAAACTCAATTTCAGGGGTTTATTTAGCAGACATCATACAGAACTGATCAGCCTTCAATTTAATCCCTGTGCTGCACACACACACTGCCCCTCCAGTGAATGTGGGTGGCTTGCTTTGTTCTCACAGGGCAGCAGCTCTGTGCTAGAAAAAGGCTCCAAAACCAGGACATTTGTTTACCATTTGACTCATCTTCCATGCTCAGGACATTAAACTGGAGACATTCCCTTAAAATGAAATCAAACCATCACCACAGCAAACAGCCAAAACCAAACAAGCCAACAAAAAAGCTACTTGTTTCCCTTATCTTGTGCCCTTCCTTCAGGCAGGGTCTGCCCTAACCTGGAAGGATCACCTCCAGCAAGAAAATAAGATTTCTACATCTCTACAGAAGTTAAATATTGACAACAGTAAGACATGAGGTGGGTAATAATTTCCAGAAGTGAAGCACAAGGTGATGTAGCCACACTTGCAGTAAGCCCCAGGTTCTGCAGTCACCTGCCCTGGCTCTCAGCACAGTCTCTGGCAGGGACTTCACAGCAGGGTTATGCTCAAACAAACACCTGTGCCAGTCCCAGGCAGCCCCCAGGGCCACCTCCCAAAGTCACACCCTAAAGCAGCCCCAGGCAGCAGAGTCTCACTGAGGGCCACGGGCTGGGCTGCTCAGCCAGGGCTGCCTTAGCAAGTTGCAACGTATGATGTGAATTAGCACAAGGAAATGAGCTACAGTTATGGAATGTAGCAGGAAAAAAAAAAAAAAAAAAGCAGTTTGGGGGCTTCCAGAGATTGCTTGTTTGGAGGAATTGCTAACAGGACTGAACCCTTCACTCAAACCCAGCCAACATAAATAGCAGCTGTTCTGGTGCAAGCTGGCAGCACTAAAGAAAACAATATTCTGAGAATATGCCACAATTTTCATTTTTCTTTTGTCACGATTAATTTTTTACAGAAAGGGTTAGTCTCCAAGAACAAGATTTGGTAACACCAAACCACATGAGTTGTTTCAGATTCGCCTCTTCCTCAGAGACACAACATCGAGTTCCTCTGGCCCTGCCATAATGTGATTCTTCCATTTTCAGTGTTCCCTCTGTTTTGGAATCTGTAAGTCAAGAGTCTCTCTGAATTCTTCAGAGAGAAATCAGAATGCAGGGATTGAATTAAAACCTTTGGATGGATTGAAGTATGTTACCACTCACACAAAGTAGAGGTGTAAGTTTAAGTTTTAGAATAAGCAAGCAAGTAAGTAAAAGTCTTAACTGCTTTTAGAGAGTAAGGATCTCAAATATCCGTGTAGAAGTGCAAGTTCTAGTGACTAGATACTAGCGTTTCCATGCAGGCTCCATAAACAGTTTTAGAAATAATAAAACTATTGTAAGAATATTGATTACATTTTTTAGATAGAACAAGCTAGACCATATGAATAGTTTATATGTAAACTGGCATGCTAAGAAACTAGAATTCTAACAGGTTAAGAAGCAGTGGTTCAAGTTTGTATCTTTAGCTTGTTAAAAAGTTCATATATAAGACTATATAATATATACATTATCTATGCATTAGAGAAAGCTGCGTGCTTTTTGCCTTTCACTTTTGTTCCTGCTCTCCTCACTGCCATCATCATCACCACCCAAAGAAAATAAGAGCTGCCACAGCAACATTGGCCCCACCAGGATCCTCGAGAACAGCTTCTGCTTCAATTTAAAACTCAAAGTCCATGCTAAAGTTTTGGTTTCAACACTGCTAACTCTTTGCCTTTCGAGACTAATGTACCTTTACAATAAACAACTTTATTGCATCTATTAACTACTTAGCTCTTGAAAGAAAACAACCACAACCCGACAAATGGTGCCGTGAGCACCAAAGAAATAACCTACACCTCTGAGTGATACCAAATTCTTCAACATCTGCTTTCTTCAAGCATAGGGCAGAAATTCAGGAGTAGCACATGATGCCTAATTTAGAATTACCAGGAACAGACAAACATCATCTGTACTCAAAAACTGCTTAAAGGTGTTTTAGTTTGTACAGTTTGCACTGCATCCTTTGACTATAAGCTGTGTGATAAATAGAAAAAATATTAGTAATTCATGTCTTCAGTAAGGAGTTTCTCCTTCTCATTAATTAAATTGTATTTATATTGCAATAATCCCAGAAGCTCCACTCCTGAGCAAGGCTTCATTTTGACTTCTGAGAGAGAACCTCCAACATGGCCAAGGAATCTTATACTTTGATCCATGCTGACAGCACAAAAATCTCTCCTACTTGAATCCAGAATTACCAGCCCAGAATTATAATGTTAACTTTAACCAGAAGATATGAAGTCAAATACTATGGACACAGAAGAACCTCAGTTTTTCTTAGCTATGTGTATGATTATAAGAAGTGTTTTGGGCTTCTGTTGCTTTTTGTTTCAAGCAACTGGAATATCTTCTATATCTTATTTCATGTTCCGGGAAATGGAAAGTAATCAGGCAGATGGGGGATCTTGTTTCAGCCTTTGTCTCATGAGACTGTTGGTCTCAGTGTGCTTAGTCACTGATTTTGGCTTCCAAATCTCACTTATCTATAGAACCTCCACTTTCATGTTGTGGGGAATTCCCTTGCTAATCTGAAGAAATGTATGGCTGGAATATAAAAAGGATTACCCTAATGGTTTATGAGAGCCATTATAAAGTAATGAAATGCTCTTTATTTGCCAAGTCATTCACCAGTCAGGCACTACAATAAAAACCAAAGCTGGTTTCTGGCTTTGGTTAAAAAGTCACCCTACAAATCTGAGCATACATACTCGGCTTTCCTCAGAAGAATGAGAAGAGAGGCTACTGGGAAAAAACCAGATCTCTTATATTTGGCACCAGTGGATTACTGCAAAAGGAAACAACAGCTACCCAAGATGCTGCAGGAAGAAAGAGCTTGTGCTAAGCCCCAGGGACACTTCATGAGGAAGTCTCTACTTCCAGGAGCTGCCCTGGAGGCAGAAGAGCAACCAAGGGCAGGAATGAGATTAATTTCTTAACCCCAACGAGAGATGGACTGTGATCTTTTGATCTTTTCGCTTAGAATCATTGAATCATTAAGGTTGGAAAAGCCCTCCAAAATTATGAAGCTCAACATTTGACCAAAGTTCTTTGACTTCAGGGCTGTGGTCAGCAGCAGAGATGCAGCCACAGGGGTGAGCCCCCTCTGCTACAGGGGCTACTGTGCAGTGTGCCATGGGGTAGCACAGCTCAGGGATCCTCCTCTGCTCTGGGCACAGAGCAAACCATAGAATCACAGAATGGTTTGGGTTGGAAGGTGTAGTAGGACCCACAGCTGGTCTGTGGGTTAGAGAGGATTAATGAGGAGAGTTGAGCAGGATCAGAGGGAGTGAGAGGCAGAGGAGGAGTCAGATCAGGAGACTGAAGCAGAGAGGGAAGGACGAGAAAGCAACGCTCAGTCAGAGGCTGTTTTGGAGGTAGAGTCTGTTGAAACCACTCCTAAGAAAGTCTCTCCAGGGTTTGTTGTAGGGGGAATAAATGACAAACTGATAATACTCCTTGGTACTGGTCCCAGAAGGACTATGCCAAACCCATATATTCCTCTCCTGTGCAGCAGCTGGGTTAATCTAGGTGCTAAATCAAAACAAACATTCATTAACCCTCTCTAACCCAGAGACCAGCTGTGGGTCCTGCTACAGGAAGGGCACTTAGAGGTGTAGTTAAAGATGTAGTCCCACATTTCAGTACTCCAGGTTGTCGAGAATCCCATCCAGCCTGGCCTTGGACACTTCCAGGGATGGGGCAGCCACAGCTTCTCAGGGAAACCTGTGCCAGAGCCTCACCACACTCAGAGCAAAACAACTTCCTCCTAATCGCTCATCTAAAGCTACTCCATGAGTCTGAAGCCATTCCTCCTTGCCCTGTCACTGCACGTACGTGTAAAAGGTCCCTCTCCACCTCCCTTTAGGTCTGGAATCCTCAGTCTTGTTAGTTCCCAGGGCTGCAGGGCCACGCAGGGCAGCTGTGCTGGGCAGGAGCCATTGCCAGGGCACAAACATTTCACCAGCTTTTCTTCTGATGAACATGGAAATGGTCTGATGTCCCTCACGTGCTGTGCCATGCTCCAGAAATCCACAGGCTGCTGGATGGGTCAGCATCATCCTGATACCATA